GAAATAAAATCAAAAGATCGTGCAAAGTTTTTGAAAACAGAAGTCAGAAATGAGAATTTATAAGGTTCTTCAGTGTGACTTTTTAGTTTTTTTTCTAAAAATATCAATAAAATTTTATTTGTTGGTTGCGAAAGCTTGAAAATTTAATAGAAGGCTCCTAATATGTTGTTTCAAAGGCAGATGAAAAAAAAAAAAAATCCTTAGTCAAATTTTTTTTTTATAAGCATTTAAAGTTCAAAAATTGACAAAATATGGAAAAATCACGAAAATTAGCAAATTATTTTGAGTTAAGAATTCGTAAAAATGTTTCTTTTTAAATCTAAGGTTTCAAAATGTAATACAAGATTCCTTATAAAACTATCTACCTTTATCAACAAAAAAATATCTACAAGAAAGTCAAATTAATTTTTTATGAGCGTTTGAAATTCAAATTTTTACAACATTGGATTTTCACTCGATTTCTCATGTAGCGATTTCCTTATTTTGTTGTAACTCAAAAACGAATAACTGTAGATACATGAAAATTTCACTGAATGTTTATATTAGCATTTCCTATACACCATACAATTTTGAAAAGATTTTGACTCTTTTTGAGCTGTTTACGGACATTTTCAGTTTTCAATTTTTTTAGTTTTTTTTTTTATAATTGTCAATAAAATTTTATTTGGTGGGCCAAAAAGTCTGAAAATTTAATACAAGCTTTCTTATATATTGTTACAATATCAGTTGAAAAATATTAAAAATACATAGGCACGATTTTTTTTTATAAGCATTTAAAGTTGGAATTTTGACAAAATTTATCAAAATCTCGAAAATTATCAATCGTTGGAATTAAAAAATTATAAAATGTTCAGTTTTTATAACTAAGAGTTGAAAATTTAAAACAAAGATTCTCTTAAATAATTCATACTGTAACCAAAAAATCTAAAAAATATATAAACACACTTATTTTTTACAGACATTTTAATTTCAAATTTAGACAAAATTTCATATTTAAACCAAGAATTACGATTTTAGTTATTTTGTTGTGATTGAATAATACTATTCGGGGGTACTTGAAACTTCTAAAGTGTACTATTATATATCTATGATAGTATCACGGTTTTTGTTGATGTATAACGCGTTATAACTTATAAGTATCTAATGGATATTGTGATATGATTAATTTGGAATTTATTATAGGTATACCTATTATAGGTCAATTTTTTGTTTAATACCATAGATATGTATATAATATGCCTTATACATAGACTGACATACCATCACTGCTCAGAATCGTTTTTCTTATACAATGATATTATATCATTGAATTCAAATTTAATACCATCCATTATACAGTGACCCACTTGTAACCTACTGTACAGCAGAGCGACACCCACTTGCCCACCTTTTTTAACTTGTTATTTACTGTATGGAAAATATTCTACCTCTTAAACTATTACACTACTGTCTATCATTTTATTATTCAACCCCCCCCCTCCCTCCACGAACACATAGGAAGTCGATAGTATTAAAATATGCATATAATTAATAATTAAAACATTGCATTTCTTGGAATTGTAAAAAAACAGTAGGAAATTATAGTATTTACTATTTAGTAACTATAATATGTCCTTTAATTCTTTTGTTTGATGCCCATAAATCGACCGGTGATTAATATTTAATAATATATATATGTCTACAATGACTTATTTAGGTACTATAGTAGGACATAGTTTCTTTAGCACAGGCTAAGGACAAGGTAATGAATTAAATCTTGAAACTATTTTATAATTTTTAATTTTTTAATTTGTAATTTATTAATTCGAAGTTCTAAAGTTCTTCCCTATCAGCTGTGGGATTTTGGATATTATTATACTATAAATATAAAGGGAGTATACTATTGTCCCTTGCAAAATAGATTTTGCTTATGGTGAGATATATGAACAGATAATTGAATAAAATTATATTAAAAAATAATTTAAATCAAATATTAACAAAATAATGAATATAACTTTTCGTTCACGATCAACGAAGTCAAATTGTCAAAATAAATTCCAACTCCTTATACTAATGGCTCCATGGACTGTGGGTCGATAACATGGTTAGCAGTTATCATGTTGTAATTCCGAAATAACTCCTGCCCTCTGGCTGTTGGCTTCGCAATAAGAGCGGCGTGCTGAAGCTATGTCGCCAGACTTCGCACCACATCTTAACAGTGTCCCATTCATAGAATAGATAATGATACGTCGGTTAATAGGCTAATTCATGTTACCTTCAATAAGGGAGCACTAATATATATATTTTTTTTTTGAGGTTCTAACCTAGATGTATATGTAGTGTAAGCTCAACCAGTTTTGGCCAGTTTAATGTTTGTTCTTTAGATACTAAACTAGTATATTCATAAATCAATGTCATACTTACCTAACCAAATACTATGTATATCATATAAATATAACTTTATGTCAGTCTAAATTGGAGATTGGAGAACTTATAATTAGTTACATTATTTGGCTTGTAATAATACCTATGAATCATTCTAGGATATAAGATATTTTTAGACAAAAATGGATACTACAATAACTTGACTTACACCCACTAATCTAATTCTTATTGTATCCCTCAATAGAATATCTAACACTAAATAGTTAGTGATATTTAATTAAACTTGTCTCCACATTTTTAATATGATTCATATAGATCTACTTAACTCTTTGAATCTCGGTTGAACATAGATTTTATCCATTTCATGAACTGGAAACTGTTATTTTACACTTCGTGTAATATTTTGAATTAATTACTTACATCAATGGGTAACTTTTCGTGAAATCGAAATAATAACATTGATACGATTACGCGAATCTAATATTTTTAAATTTTAGGTATTTGGTAGGTACTATAAAACTGTACTAATATGATGGGCTTATGTTTGAGGACTTCTTAAAAATGCGAATTTTGGAAAATATCGTTTCTTGGTGGTTCTCTATTATCTACATAATAAAACTAATATATAATAGTTTCATAATATAGATTTTTATGTTCAGTAATTTTAAGACAGTGGTTTAATCTTATTCATGTTTATCAAATATATGACCTTGGCGATACAATAATATAATAGTTTATACTGTATAATAGGTAATAATATATTCGATCCATTTTCATCTATATATATATATAAATAAATGTTTGTCTGTCTGTTTGTGTGTCCTTTATGCATTCCAAAAAGGCTGGGCCGATGTTGATGAAATTTGGTACAGAGATAGATTAGACCTCTGGGCATAAGACAGGCTAATTTAAAAAGGGAGAGGACCAACCCCGGGATGTTCTCAAACAGGGATTTTCAATTTCCGATGGAATTGTTGTTTATAAATGGTTGCTATAGCTATGGGTTTTAAAGCTATTAGGTATAATAATAATTATTTGTTGCCATTGATTTAAAATGGTTGCTATTGCTATAATTAAAACATATTAAAACATATTATTCATATATAGTTGGCATTTTTAATGGGCAACAAAGTGCACGGGATCAGCTAGTCTTCTATAATAGTTGATAAATTATTCGGTAGATATTTATATATTATATATTTATATGGTGAACATGAACTTCATAAATCATTATCATAATATGTGTGTCTAGAAAAGTCTTTACAATTCATAGCTTTGTCTATTATTCAAACTATAAAATACAACAATAATATCAATTTAGGTGTTATAAAAAATAGGTATGGTAACATAAATAATATAAATATATTATAATAATAATTTTTCTAAACTATTCTTATACAATTGAAAAGTTGAGTTTCCACTAATTAATCATCCACTTATGAAACGTTGGTACTATTTTTGATTTCCATAATACTCGGAGTTCCTGTGGAATTATTGAATACTAGTGATGGCTGCAAAGAAGACCCGAAAAACTGCAGTAAAAAGATGATATATGCCATCAGCATCCCAAAACCCTATGAAAAAAACAGTCAAATATATATATAATATGGTACATATAGTGTTACGCTATTATATATTATATCCTATAGGTATCGTATATATTACATATAGACTATAACATTTTTTCATAGTTGTAAATAATATAAAGGAATACAGTTTTAAAGTCTGGAATTTTAACTAATATAATCAAATAGAAATTATATTTGTACACAGATATAATCAATAACTTATCAAAGATTTTTTATTAATCAATAATATTTGGTTACTTACTGCATAGAAGAAAGCTATATTAATATTTATCATTCCATATATTTGGAATTTTGAACTTATTGCGTCTAATTGATTTTGAAATAGAATGATCTGTAATGCATTTGTGGTAAAAATGATTGTTATTATTGATTTCAGATTTGTTACGGAAAATATAGTGATTTAATCAGATTTAAAAGTAAAATCAAATATGTATTGGTACTACTAGTATACAGACATGGTTGTAAAATTTTAACTTTAAATATTATTGTTTTATAAGGGATAATAATTAATGCCTACACAAATAACAATATATAGTTTTAATGATCTCCTATAAACAAAAAACATTACTAAAAAATGTTTTGTATAATCATTGAAACATTTGATTAAAAGAGTGTAGGTACATTTCAAAAAAAAAAAAAAAGAATCCGTTGATAGAAATACAATATGTGAATAATATAATTTATTATTATCGTATTATTATAATATATGAATATATATTATGATTGTTGCTGATCATAATAATAATATAATCATTTTTTAACAAATTAATTTTTGTAATTATTTCATAGTCTTATTTTCCCCGTACCTTTTTTTACAAAATATTATATAGAAATTCTGAACCAACATTATTACTATATTATCATTATTTACATAATATTATAATCCGATTATCAAAATTTCTATAGTCGTGTTAAAATTTTTTTGGAAATTATCAATGAATGAACTTTAAAATAAAGGTAATTAATTTATAGTATACCATTTTTATATAATGTAAGAACTTGTAATTGCCTTTAACTTATTAAACTTAAAAATAAATTATAATTTAATTATCTTGTTAAAAACTTAAAAGTGAATACCTCGGGCATTAATCTCCTGCTAGTGACTGGATTTAATGTTAATGTAAGCCAGCTCAATGAAATCCGTATAGGTATAATCTATATAATATTTAAAATAATTATATTTAATAATCACGGTTAACCACATTAATCTTTAATAAATGTAATATGTAAAAGTTAATTAAATTTAGTATAAACTAAAATTCTAACGTAATTAGGCTACACGGCGTGTCTGAAATATGTCAACTCGTCAGAGATTTAGAATATTATATAAGTACCTTTGGTATAGCGATGCGATGAATGTATTGATTTTACAATGATGTGTTTGTTTTTAGGACAGTAAAAGTGCTTGGATTTTTTTCAACAGTATCTTTTCTGATAGAAAAGTGAATCTAGTTGGTACTTTGGGGGGTCAAAAGTAAAATTTGTCCGGTAGTTTTCAGAAGCGCCGGGGAAAAACAAAATAAAAATTAAGGAAAAACGGGGAATTTTTTAACAAAATCGACTACGTCTTAGCTCATTTTTTTTATAGATTTAAGCATTGTATCAAATCGTCCCGTTACACTCATCTATATAGTCAATATGGAAATATTTACGTTATACAACATTAATGATTTTTATTTTTTTATGTAGGTATGCAGTATGCATTATTATACAGTGAAATAAAAATATTGTGAGCGAACCTCACCATTTTCGTGATATAATACTCGCACGAGTGTAGGTACCACAGTCGGACGATTCGCATACCCCAATAGCCCGAGTACAGGACGGTGCTCGAGTACGTGATCGTTGCGCGTTTGTCCCATATGACGTAGGTCAAGTGGTACGTCACCTCAGACGTGTAGAACACGATACGGCACACGCTGTCGATCATGTTCAGCAGCAGTGGCAGTTGAAACGCTCGGTTGACGCGGGAAAACTTCTCCGTGGCCCTCAAGTGTGCGGACCTCAGTCGCCGGATGTCCGATGTGCCGAAAGCCGGTATGCCCAAGTGAGTCAGACTTCCGGCCCCGGGGCTAGCCCAACACCTCCACCGAGGGTGCTCGGCCTTGTGGACCAGGTCCTGTACGTCCTCGTGGATCCGTTTCAGCCGAACGCACAGTGTCAGGCACGTGATGTAGAAAAACTGTTCGACCACGATGCAATCGATGTTGGACAGGAACGAGAACAGGCATACGAAGTACCGGTGATTGAACCTGCAGCAGTCGGAAGAAAACTCAGAACGAAATGCGTATATAATTTTTAAAATTAAACTGAATTCCTAACGAAATGTAACATGTTAGTTAGTAGGTAGGTGGTATTTGATGTTTTTCCACTTCACTATATTATACTATATTATACTATTATATACGAACGATATTTTTTTTTTTTGGAAGTCGGTTATGTTTACTAATGCAGTAGGTAATACCTGTTATCATTAAACATAAGAATGATAAAAAAAATCTTAGATCATAATAAGTATGTAAATACACAATGATATAAGAAAAAAATCAAATTATCATCTCGTTTATTGTGAATCGTCTACAAATCGTCTCTGCAACTCACTGTGCTATCTGTTTTTTACTGAATTATTACAGAGTATTTATCATTTAACAGTTAACAATATATAACATTTAAATAAAATCTTCGAGAATTGTTAATTTAGAGAGATGAAAAAAGAAAAACTGTTGATGTTTTATAATATATTATAATCTACGCTGTTTTAAAAAACTAAGGTAACTGTAGTCTGTAGGTAACATGTCAACAATAAATCTTATCAACCAAAAAACCTCATTCAAATGAAACATATTTTGAGCCCTAGTAAGCAGTATTATGTAGGTACTCAACTTACCAAATGGCAAAAGTGGACAACATTAGTTAAAAGTCTTTTTTAACACTATATTATTAGTAAATTATTTAAATTATTCTAAAAACTTCACTAGAAAACGTTTAACAGATTGCCCTTAATTAACACCTTCACTTTGAAATTTGGTCAATCTTCAAAATCGTTTTTTTATGGTTTTTTAAATAAAAACATATTCGAATAATGCCCTACTCTGCTGAATTATGCACTTGGACTAAAGGAACAAAATTATATTCTAATACAATATATAAATCCCGTTTCCCGTCATAGATATTAAAGAATGGATAGGCCATTTGTGCTTATCATACGGGAATGAACATGAAAACATTTTGAGGTTATAGAGGTCTTAACACAAATAAATATATATATAACTATTGTATATAATTTATGATAAGACCTCTGCCAGAATGAGATACAATCATAAAAAACAGTCTTTCTCTCTTCCCCATTCCGGCACACGACCCTCTATTTTATTAGTGTAGCCATGGCCTATCCATTCTTTAATATCTATGTTTCCCATAGCTCTAATAGCAATATAATAACCATAATATATGCTGACCAATTGACTCCTACCTCGACGTGGACAGAACGTAGTAAATGACTAACTCGTAGACGACGAACACGACTATGGTGAAAGCCTTGAACGGTGGCCAGCCGCGGCCGCCTCCATGGTGGACGCGCGGCCGGAGCAGACATTCGCCGACCAGCGCCACGACGGACGGCTGCGACATGTGCACTTGGCACAGGGCGGCCGTCGCGGACGTGGTGAACGTCATGTACACGTACAGCTCGTAGACCTTCACCGGTGACGTGGTGGCCAGCTTCTTGTCGAGCGCCTGCCGGTTCCGGTTGTCGGAGCCGCTCGAGCGCATCCGGTACAACTCCGCGACAACGATTGCGGCGGCCGACCAGAACAGTATCACGTGCACGGCCTTTAGCGCCGCGCCGAACCAGTGAAGGCGAAATCTGTGCGGTGTGGACCGCGATACCGTGTAGGGGAACACGCCTAACGCGTAGGCGCACGACCGCAGTGGCCCATAAAGCGGTGCTGTGGCGGTCATCGCTTTACGATAACCCGGGACGATGATATGACCCGGCCCTGCAATGTATTGCGACGATCACTATTAAATTGTGGGTTTCAATTTTAAAAAATCCGACTAGGACACACTCATGAGAGAACCCCCGTGCGAGATCTACGGTTATCAGGCGAACAATAAGACACATCCAAACCGAGAGTAAAAGGTTCAATCAGGACTTACTCAACCTTAACTTTGACTCGTCCATCGGACAAAATCCAGAATAAAACTAATTAAGCGTTAAGTTTTTTAAATCAAATATACATAATGCGATAGGTATCTTATACCTATTTAAATCAAATTATAATCTTTCCTCTTCTATTTTTTTTTAATTTGGCACTTCTACGGATCTACTCAGACATATCTTAATATCTTACCTTATCAGTTATGATGGTAAGTATACAATGTAACTAATGGGTGAAGGTTGAAAGAAGTTGAGGGTTATAATATTATACCTGGATTGATATTTTAAACGGTGGGTTATGTTAATTGTACATTTGTATATTACAATAAATTATGGATACATTGTGGCTTATGTCACTTGACCATAATATGTTGCTATTGTGGGTCACACTATAATTTTTAAATGAAATTAGCTTGAATTTAGAATTTAAAAATGATTTGAGCTTACGTAACTTGGAAAAAAGGTGATTTTACATGTGTTTTATCATTATCAGTTAAAACTTGATTTCCGTAAAGTTGAAAGTTAAATCATTTGGCCTTCCAACCATCGAATTATACTCAAAATAATAATAGTGAAATATCATAATATAGAGTTATATAATATATAGATTATATTATATTACTTGGACCACGAGAACCAAACTAGTGAATTGCGTCTCAAAATCAGGTGAACGAAATTGTTTTCCCCTTTTTTATGTTCTGATTGCGTTCTATTGTAAAGAAGAAAAACGTTAAATTACACTAATTTAAATACTATCAAGGCATGTGTAACAGTTATATTGATATGAGATTATTAAAATTAACTAAGCCAACAGGCAACAATAAATTGTATACACTACACAATATATCATAATTATATTATTTTAGGTCCAACCAGTTGTGTATTTTACGGTTGAAAAATGTGTACGTACCTATGGATACAAATTAGTCAAATATATAATTAAACACTTAAAAATACATAATTTATCTATGTGTTGTTAAAAAATAATAATGAAAAAACCATAATAATATTTAATATCAAAATATAGGTATAATAGATATAAAATATTTGGTCAAGATGCTTATTTATTTCAAAAAAATAATAGGTTTAGGTGAAATAATTTTAAGATATTATTGTAAAGGGGGTACAATTTAATTTTTTCAATGGCTTATTTGTTATCAATAAATTGTTGTATTTTTAAATGGATTGCTCAGAGTTTTAAAGGTATTCACTATTCAATTTTGACTTGTCGTGTTTAATTAGATATCTGAGCCACACATGCAAAATAAATGTTAATCCCGGCCCAATACAAATTATGGACTTATTTTTAATTTACCTGATTCAGGGACGCAATCGAACACCGGCAGGTATAAAAGGTGAAATGAGACTCAATCGGATAACGCCCGACTTGTCACACCCATCGACGTGTATATAATACCAGTTCTGTAAAATGTCTAACAAAACGTGAAAAGTAAAAAATTGCTATAATATAAAATCGCACAACCCTGTCATATCTCTGGTGAAAGAATAAATAACGCGTGATTTGCAGCAAAAGGTTTCACCGCTTTACCTATTATGATGGGAGTGAACGAATTCTTTGTGCGCTTTTCATTATACTCTACGTGATGATAATACATTATAATATTATATAGTGTACCACGTGCAATCTCACTCATATAAGACGCGTTACCTATATTATAAAATTATCGACCTGCGTCGTCCAGACACGGCACGACGGCGGTGATCATCAAACTGGACAATATTATATTGGTTGTTTACTTTTGGGGACGTTTTCGAACATATTACATAATAATGGCTTGAATCTATCATGACATTATAGAATGCTGTCATCATAATATAATATATTATATTGTTATCGCCCATATCGCGTTGTGGATGTTAAATTATACGTTGCGAAGTGTTATTTCATTAGAGTACATATTAGTAATAATTGTATAGGTACACTATACCCGTGATGGATTATATTATGCTATTTGGACGTATAAGTATACGCTCAATAATTAATGATGTCCACTATTGTCCAACATTTTGCACATTTGAAAAGAAAAAAACAACCATGTCACGCTATTTTAAAATGCATATTATCATTTTAATGAACTATATCTACTACACGGTGACAACTCATTAGTTTTTCGTTTTATAACAATACACACCATATAAGTGTCTCAATAATAGTTTCATGGTTTTTTATTTATATAATTATTTGTGCAAAATAATATAGCCCTTTTGAAATGTACAGTGAACCTGTGGCAAAAGGTGATTTTTCGTATGTCTGACAGGGCTCCAACATTTACACCAACATATGATAACGTGCTAAATTTAAACAAAAAATTTAATAAATATGTACCAAAAACCATAAAAGAATATATATTTGATCCTAAGGTACAGAATAATATCTCCGGAATGCGACATAATTCGTTGTTATTGATTGTTGTATAATATGCACACATTTCAATACATTATAATAACATGGTCGCACACATAAATTATTGTAATATTATAGATTATAAGTGCAGAACGTTAGAGCACGTCAACAATAACATTATGCACTCTACAAGATTAAAAATGCTTTTAAGCATAAACCGTTGAATAAAAATTTCGAATAATAAGTAATAACATGAGAAGAATTGACACAATCATATACTGCATTCTTATACGATATAATACGTTATTTAATTGTGTCAACTGTCAAAGGATATATTGTATCAGACGTCATACTGTAAACGTTTTTAAGTTGTTGAATAAATAAAATATTCCGGTAACTACTTTCAAAAAATATGTTAGGTATATATCATAATAATTGTGTGTAGTTGAAAGAAACTTTAACTATTGATACAATAGATGTTACAATTATTGTCTCGTTTATCATTGTCTATAACATTTTACAATTTTTAGAATACTTTAATATTAATTTTCCAACGGGTTTTAATTTATTTGTTTTAATGTATATCAGTTACACGCCTTCCGTTGTAAACTGTACGTTAAAAAAATATGATCGATTTTTTCGCATTGAATATTTTAATATTTGCAATACAATCGGGCAGAATAGTACAATAGATAATAGAGGTATACTAAATCCTTGGATTTAGGACTTTTCATGGTAGCTATGGAAATTGCAATACACCCGCTAAAACATGAAAACACAACACAATGGATTAATAAATAAGACACCGTCTGCTATATTATAATATGCATTATGCGGATAAGTGGATTGTTATGAGCAATATTTAATGATAAGTTTGTTTCAAACATTTTACACGTCACATAATATGAGAAAACTATATAACATGTATAATACTGTAATACACGATATACATGCCGTGTTATAAGACTGTTATATGTACTTTTTGATAATTTCCCTGTTCGTAATTTATTAAATCTGTTAAGAAAACCTATTAACTTATTATTACGACATCACAATTTTGGTGGTCGATAAAATGTACCTCATATTTTACAACATAATAAACGTAAATAGTCGGTATACATTCTTGCATTAAATAATAATAAAACAATTTCAAAAACAAATTAATAATAAATTACCTTCCTACCTACTAAATGAATATGTATTTGAATTTTATCAAAATATAATATAATGTTATGATCATTAAGATCACAATTTCTTACTGTAAATTATCTTTCTTAATATTTTTTTATCAGTATCTACTATAATATATCTATTAATAAATGTTATTTTCAGTTAAATATTTTAATAATGTATACCTACCATGTGCTTTTATTATTTATTCATAATAATTAGGTAACAATAATATACACGAGTCCTCTACACAAGGTTTTATGAAAACTAGTACCTAATTATTTTTAAGAATTCAGATTAAATAAATATTAGGTGTATTATGAAACATTCTTCAATTTGATCTTAATTGAGTGTATTTTTTTATTCGACATAACTCAAAGTCGATAAAAAAAATTGAGTGATGAAACATTATTTAGCTAAGATATATTTTTATCAGAATACAATATTTCTTTTTAAGTAAGTTATTTAATCAACTATTATTTATGTGTTAGATGCAGTTTATAGTCAAAGAGTATAGGTAAAAGATATTATATTATAACTGTGGGGACTGTCTTTGCAAATATATTTTAAACACAAATCTACGTGACCAGTACTGTAATAAATTGTACTTAATTTTTCGAAAGGCGTCAGATTGTTGTTTAAATTTCTATACAATATACATTATAATATATACTTTTGAATTCAGAATGAAGAGAAGAATTTATTAGTAATCTAATATTATATACTATTATACTACAATGATACTTTTTATTTTTTTTTCTGGTGGTAAGTAATCACAAAATGTTTTATGCAGCACATAAATTCATTGGAAATTGAACACAACTAGTACAATCTCGCTGTAGGTCATGCTAAGAATTTTCAGTATTTCGATTGAGCATTGTGAAAATGTCGAAATTACAATAAAAATATATATATATCAGAGACGGAGGTTTTTTAAAAAAAATCTACCATTTGTCGTAAAATCAAGCTATACTGGAAATCGTTTTCAAATATAACGATTTGTCATAGCTATGAAATTTTAGTTAGTAGACAGGTTCTTTAATTGGCACACCCAATCTGGTATACATTTTTTGAACAGTTTCTGGAATATGTATATCTGTACGTATATTATAAAATATAAAATTTAATTAGTAGGTATAATATATTTTTGGATAAAATCAACAGCAGTTATTATAATATTATTTATAAATCACAAAGTCACAAAGTACATATTCTTAATATTTTAATGCACAGTAAATAATATATAAAATATTATATAAACATTTTTATTTTACTGTGTCAAAACCAAATAACATTATTAGTTTTTAATTTATAAATATATAATATGCTTAAACGAATTATAAAATAATATTACACTCGTATAATTTATTATATACCATGCATTGTGATATTTAGATAATTAGGTACCTACTTGGAAATAATGAAATATGTTAGTTAAACAATATAGTTTAAATAGGAGATACCAGTTTCAATAGTTTATAACATATTGTATTTTTAATATTATTAATTAATAATTATAATTAAATAATAATGTATCTTGTAAATAACATATAACATGTAAAAACAATTATAGTGAAAATACCTATAACATATTATATTTACCGATTTATAGATATTTAAGCATTAAACTATTATAATTATTAATTTATTTCAACTTCATAAAATTGTATAATAAATAATTAAACTTTTAATATACGTTTAATTGTAAGTTTACAAATTGATATACCTATATTATATCATGTATCTACTCTCTGTAATCTTGTGGTATGAGTAATGAGTCTCCGATCACAGAATAGATAATAGTCTAACTACAATAGTTGATTAATACAATCATTAAGTATTCATTTTCCATACTTAACTGTTAACAATAGTAATAATAATAATGATAAACTAATATTGTATTATCTAATATATTACATATTTTCTTATCATTAGTTTAAATTGAATTTTATTATCAATCAATTTAGTACTATTCAGTAGGTAGGTCAATAAATAATTGTGTCCCTCTATTTATGCATAATAATATGCAATATTATAATAATTATCCATTGAAGCTGTTGAGAGTTGCCATTATTTTCTCCTTTTGTCGTGAACCTATTAAAATATATTAGTACACTCTTTGTAAGTACAGTTTAATAATAATAATATATTATTATTATGCACGTGTTTCATTTAAAATATTTGTGCTGTATGAAAAGCATGATTCAGACTTAATCTAAATGTAAATCTTTAAGTAGTTACTAGTTACGTAAATATATGGTTTTTAAACATATGGTTACCACAGATCAATAATAATAAATTATTTGTCAGCGTTTGTTGCATTGCTTGTGGAAATGGATGCCATTGAAATCTGATTAAAAGCAAAGAACTGTAGTAAAAGCGCTAAATACGCCAGTGTAGTGCCAAATCCCTGTAGAATAAACGTGATCGTATTATTAATATGTATAATCATTGATTACAAATGCTATAGATCGGTTACTGCGGTACAAAATACCATAGTAAATTTAGAGTGGCGTATTTTGTACCGCAGTGATCAATCTATAGTATTCATAATCAATAGCATAAAACTATAATGTATTCAGTTTTGTAGATAAACATCATCAACATTCAAGAACGCATCATTGGCGGCCGGTGGGGGAAGACGGGGTGTTAACCCCCCTGAAATTCAAATATAATGTTGAAAATGGTAACTAAACTTTTTTTAATTGAATTTTTGGTGTTTGATTTCATTATGCCCCTCCCTGATAATTTTTCTGCGGGCGCCCATGAATGCAGAAGTACTTACAGCATAAAATAACGTCATATTGATGTTTAAAACGCCAAATAATTCAAACTTGGACTTGATGGTATCAAGTTGATGTTGAAATAGAATTATCTGAAATTATTTCTTTATTTAAAAATATAATTTTATTATTAACATCATATATTATGGATACAATCAAAGTTAATGAAAACAATGTATGCGAGTTTCTTAAATCTATGGTTTTATTGAATTTTCCAATCTCACGTATAATTTGTTCACTTATTATAAATATAAGAGGTACAGTAATATACGTATACCTTTACTTAAAATAAGTTTATCCGCCTCAATGCCGTTGGTTGATTAAATATAATTAGGTATTAAAGTTTTTCAAGAACCTCTAATTATTATCATCGTATCAGTGCCATCTGACAATATTCAATAGGAAACTTTTTCTTCTCCCCTCGAGTTCAATTAGCAACTACATTATTGTTTAAGTTTCTTAATATCATCTCTCCTCAAATTATATTAAAGTAATTTTTTTTAACTAACTAATTTTTATTATGGGTATACAATATTTAAATGAATATTACTTTGTGTCTATCTAATTTTAAAATATTATTTTGAGTAGGCACTTAGTTTCAAAATCAATTGGTACACAAACATTTTTACTATTATACTTGAAAGTAAACTTTACTTTATATAAGTACTATCATAATTTATGTAAGACATACGTTTTTATTTTACCCGACGTTTAAATGTATTTTCTTTACCTCGGGCATCAGTCTCCGGCTTGTAACGGGATTTAGAACCAATGAAAGCCAGCTAAGTGACAAACGAATTGGTAAAATCTAAACAAAGCAAGATAAAAAATCATATTAATTGCATGCTATATAAAATAGTAAATACTATACCTAATATAATAATTATATTATACCATACTAATATTAAGGTAATCTGGAAAGTGTAGGTATGTATATTATTGTAGTCAGTTTTAACGAAAATTACAAATATTACTGTAACTAAAATTACTTTTTGTCTCACCTACAGCGAAAGTTGTAGATAGGTAACGGTTTAAGCGTCGGAAATCGACGTTTTTCCGTCCAGCTGGTGGTAAAGTGGGAATCCCCATAGTGCCGGGTGATTTTTTTCACTCATTTGAGTAACACTATAGAGTTTTAATTTGATATTCCAAAGGAGAATATTATTCAGAGTATTTCAGTTTGTAAAATTCAAATTTCAGATAAATAGTTTATTATAGCTATACTCGTAGGTATGTATACCATGTACTCTAAAAGTGGTACAACATGTTGCTCCGAATTCAGAAGACATTTTTACCACGGGACGCCACTATAGTAACCACTTGCCAGTAGCCACCCTACCAAACATACCTTTTTGGTCACATAATGTTCGCACAGGTACAGGTACCATAGCCGGATGATCCGAATGACGCAGTAACCCGACCACATGGCGGTGTTCGCGTAGTTTACGTGCTTCTTCTTCTCCCATATGACGATGGTCACGTCGAACGCGATGCCGTACATATATACGATGATGCGGAACACGCAGTCGAACATGCATAGTGACAGCGGCAACTGGAACAGACGGTTGATGCGAGCGAACAGTTCCATGCACGCGCGGTGCACGGCCCGCAGGTCGCGTATATCGGACGCGCTGAACGCTGGTATCCCCATCCGGCCGACCGCTGGTCTACCACCGCCACCGCCCGTGGCCACAGACGCCCAGCATCTCCACCGCGGGTGTTCAGCCTTGTGCACTAGCGTCTCGATGTCGTCATGTAGCACCCGTAGCCGAAGATACAGCGACACACACATCAGGTAAAAGAACTGCTCGACGACGACGCACGTGATGTTGGACAGCGGCGGGAATAAACAGATCAGTTTGGCCGAAGGGAACGTGAACCTGCAGCGTATCATAAACAAATAAAACGATAATATTATATAATAATGATACAATAATATTACGTACATCGACCTAAGATCAGGAACTGAACCTCGAACTGAAATTATTATAATTTATTTATATTTATTATATGTAGTAAGTACCTATGGGCTTTAGTATATAAGTAGAGTCCAGTGGTTACTTTAAAATAATACCATTTTATATAGGTAATATAAACATAGTTTTAAATTATTAATAATTACAAATAATGGAAATTTTACATGATAGTATATGTATATAATATTATAAAGAAGAAAAAGTTAGTTCTATATTTATATTTATATATTGATCACGTATACCTACACAAAACCTCTACATTAGTAATAATAATAATAATAATAATGTAAAAGACTAATCCGTTTAAGTGGGGCACAATTAATACAGAAATATTAATGTTGTCTAAAATATAGGCAAAATGATTATAGTGTATATGAGACAAATAATGATATTATTTATAACAACGGGCCTGAGGGTAATTTTTAAATATTCATACATTGTACAGTAATATATTTATATCGTTTTCACTTTTAATTTATTTTTTATTTTGGCTTCAAATCAGAGGGTTATTAGCTAGATTTTGGAAAGAAAAGATAGCACTGAGTGAGTCTCTTATAACCAAAGTGTTATTATACTTACTTATTTGAAATTAAAGACATTTATAGTATTGACCGATATAGTATGATAGCTGACATTGTTTTTTCTGATATTACATAGATTTTCTGAAGGGTGTTTATATTAAATAGTAATTTCATATTTCTATATTATTTTCTATCCTCTTTGTATGGACTTTGGTGCATCAGCTTAAATTGTATTAAAATTAGAAGATTATCCTTGAATAACCGTCAATCCGTATTATATTACCAACTATCATAGGTTTAAGTTATAATCAATATTTTACTAGAATTTTTTTTTGTCGTTATTAAAATATTTATATTATCTGTCTTTATAGAATATTTTTTAGACACATACCAAACGTATATAATACTTAACGCGTGGTGGTGGTATATATATTTTATAGGTTATCAGATTAACCAATGCCATCCATAAAATACATACTTATAATTTTTTTTTAATTACAATACAATGTATTTTACCATATGTATGTGGTAGTTTTGATATTATTAAGCAACTGTTAAAAAACTTATAAGAAATTAATCTTTTGTTAGGCTTAAAAATAAAAATCTTACAACTAGGTACAAAATATTTTTAACATTTTCTTGATTTTAACAAATATTGTCAAAATATGAACTCAAAGGTGACATAATAATTTTATCACGCACTGTGAATTTAATGCACTAAAATATAAGAAAATTGCTTTTCTACTATAATATCTAAAACATGCAAAAATATACAACAACAAAATTCTGTACTGATTCAGAACTGTAATGTACCTATACTGAATCGTATATATTGTATATCTGACTTATTCTAAATTCAGAAATTAATTCATCGATACTCAAATAAACATTAGATTCGCAGCCCGGCTCGGTAATATAATATATACATTATACTTGTATTATTTTAATATTAATAGTTTTATTAAGAATAAGTCAGTGCACTATATGTTGTATCCCTCTGACCCACACGTAACATAGACAATTTACGTTCATCAAATCCAATCTGCTTGTATTGTTAGCTTAACTAATAATCTTTGTTTAAGTTGTGACATTTTACATACTCAAAACTCGCATAAAAATTGTAATATCGTAAAAAATCCAACGTAAAAACACGGATAACGTTCGTAAATTTAAGTTTGAAATTAGGTCAATTCACTTAATACTATAAAGCTAACTGCTAACAACACATGGGTGGTTCTACTGAATGCAAATTTGCTATGTTGTGAGTGGGTTAGGAGAGAGAAAACATATAGGTATTACGCTTCCATACCAGGTCTTCCAAAAAAAAAAAAAAATCCGGGAAAATATGAAATAACCTAACAAAGAAGTAAATAAATGTATTCATACAATTTTTTTTCGAGAACGGAAACTAAATTATACTCCATTTAGAGTCCAAAGGTTAAAAATCTCATGTTTTGAAATTAATGTCAATATGATTGTGTCCATTCATACGTATATGTTAACTTAACGTAACCTTATTTGTAAATCCCTCAACAGCAACTGCACATTGTGAACCCACCCCTTCGGTCCATGATTACTAAATGGCAGATATAATTGTGTCAGGGGCTAAAATACTGTGTCCCCTGACACACTTTATGTCCCTTGAAAATCGAAGTGTGTCCTCTGACTGATAAATGTGTGTCAAATATTAATGTGTAAGGTAAGTAGTATATAAAAGAATTGGGGATTTTGGGTGTTAAAACCCGCACAGATTTTTTTTCCTTTAGAAATCCGTCAAAGCCTATAGAGGTAACAGTTAAATCAATAAGGGTCCACTTGAAATCAGATGTATTTTAGGCCCTGAATCGTGTTAGCAAAATTTGACCGTGGCCAACCTATATAACCGGTTATATATGTAGTTGTGCCAACGTTTTTAAAATTTTCCCGTTTTCCTTTAAGACCCTGTGTTTGTGAGACGTGTGAGGGGTGACGACAATCACTGGACACTGACTTGTACGTGATTAAGACGAAGTACATGGCGAACTCGTAGGCGACGAACAGCACGATGGCGTACGCAGAGAAGTGCTGCCAGACACCGGTGACGTGGTTCAGCTGACACAGGTCGAAGAAGCACTCGTTTGTGGCACGGACGACGGACGGCCACAGCATGTGGGCCTGGCACACGGCGGTGGCCGCGATCCCGGCGAACATCATGTACACGAACAGCTCTTCGATGTCCAGCACCCGGGTGGCCAGCAGCTTCTTAGCCAACTTCTGGTAGTTCTTCAGGTTCCGGATGGACACGACGCTGACGACCAGCGACACCAGCCAGTAGAGGGCCGTGTGGAACGCCTTGAGCGCCACGCCTGGCCAGTGGACCCGGAAACGTCGGGGTGGCGGGCCAGGAGTCCGTGCCACCGGAAACACGCCGAACAGGTACGCGCAGACGTGCAGCGGCCGGTGGAGTTTCATGGTGCACGCTCAAGTCGTCCAGCCGTCGCGAGTTGGTGAATAGCATTAAGTGTGTCGAGTCATTTGCGTAGAGAACGTCCAAGCTTACGGCATGTTGTGTGTGTGTGTGGTCAGAATGCGCGTGCGCACATCGTAAGACACACAACAAAAAAACCGACACAATAAACACCGTATAATAGTATAATAGTGCCGGGTGGCATAACAAATGTAAATGGTCCACTAATATGTAATGGACCAATCATGGACCCCTAAATCATGTTGGAAGGGTCATATTATAGTTCGCACTATTGATTCATTAAATGTTTAGTGATTGTTCATGCAACCCAGCATACAGGCATCTAGCCGCATATAGGCATATTTATTAATTAAAATAGTAAGTTATTTTAAAAGTGCAAATTGTATAGTACATAGGTTATAATTTATATGTAATAAACAATAGTCACAATAGCATAAATACAATAGAATATGTGGAGAGGGGTTAAATGTTAAACACCCCTCCCCCCACCTATAATAGATATTCTAATAATTACATCTTAACGAACATTCATAAGCTGCTAAAATAATCAAAATCAAATTAACAGGACTGCAGTTTATTATGTAATTTTTATCAAAGAAATGAAATTTTTAAAAATATTTAGGCATATTAACATTACGTGTAATTTTATTTTTTACGATGCGAGTGAATCATAAAAATGTATCTCAAGCTAGAGCCCTGCACCCTTCCATTTTATGGATTTTATGGTGATCCATTTATCCATTAGTCGTCATTTTTTAGTAAATTGTTATGATTTTTAATAATAGTAAAAAATGTTTTCGCTTAATAGAATTATATTTAATTTAATAATATAAGTACAGCTATATTTTACAAATAAAGAATCTAGCTACTAAGCTATTAATAATTAATAGTTGCTATATTTTTAATTTTTAACGTTTAGATGACCGAAATAAAATCCAAAGAATATCTCGCAAGTATGAAGGTCTATTTGGAAACATACTTATTTATAGGTACTTAAATTAATGTTGATAAAAAACAAAAAGAAATCTTGATAATATATTCGGTCTATATTTAATATATTATTTTATACATCAACGATTTTAAAAATGGGTTTCATTTCCCTATATGTAGTAAAATAAAAAAACATGCATCAATTGTAAATCGTAATAAATGACGTGTCGTTGAAAATTCCTGAGCACACCACTGATTATAATTTAAAAAAATGTTAAATACCAAAAACTCGCTATGATCAGAAATTTAAATAACACGTATATTATAGGTAATGAACTAATATATAAATTATAATACTATGTGGTAGAATATTGTACCAAATAGTATTTCAGAGTTAAAACTAGATAAAAACATTATAAAATTTTATAGTAATTAAAGCACTGTAGTCTGTAACCCAGTTTTAAACGAATCACCCAGTAATACCAAATAATTTGTAAAGTACCTAAAAATATACATCATAATAAATAATATTAAAATAGTACCTACCTATATTATAATATCAATACTAGTTTTCGTCGTGTGCACTTCAATGGTCGGGCTTTTAACGTGACCTAAAAACGTCGTTTTTGTCGTAGTCATCGTATAGTGTTGTTTCTGTTGTTGTATTGTAACGTATTCATTATTATTATTATTATTATTGTTGTTATTATATTGTTGATGTTCTGTATGATTCGAATCCCTCGCCGAGTATATACTTTTTTCCGCTGCAAATAATAAAAACGAAACCGCCCCGCAACCAAAACGCCTATAGTTTTATAGCGTGCCGCAAGCAATGTTTTATGTCGTTTTCCTTTGGACAAGAAATTCGAAAAGATAAGTTTTTTTTGGTCCACATCCATAGTACTCGACGTAAACGAATTGCCACGAATAACAATACATATTATACTCAAACTGGTATAATATTATATAAATAATATATGTTATGTATACGGATAGTGTATAAGCATATTTGCGAGAGTTATTAACAGTCTTCCAAGTTATTGGACTAAATACGCATTTAAGCACCTTTATAAAGGTATTTAGAATACTTTGGACATTTTTCAAATAAAGTACCTACCTATTTATTATACATGCAGTGTTGCCTTATAAATGAATGTACAACAATTTTTTATTATAATTAAATGGACTGTATATTTTCTGTTATTTTTGCGAGTACGTAGCCGACAACTCGACAACAACGACTGACCCACACACATAGTAGGTATAATCAAAATACAATCTCCAATGATATTTGGCCCATCGTTATCGACAATCATATCAGATTACGCATGGCGTTTCCGCCGTAACATGGACCCACCTTGAAACACAGTTTCAAAGTGTAAGACAAAATGTGTAAAAAAAAAAAATAAAATTATACAACATCAAAGCGTTATTAAATTATACTACTAACAAATAAATACATACGCGCGAAATGCGACTTCACAATAATCTTTCTATTTTTTAAATATAATAATAATAACATATATGCCATTTATTTGGCTTCAAAATAAATCATATCTATACCAAACAGGTTATAAGAAACAAAAAATAATACACAATACTAAGATAGCAATAGTTGGTCATTAGATTAACAAATAGGTATATATAAATGCGAAATTGATATCTCATATTTGATTCTTGCTGACCTATATAATTTTTAAAAATAGTGAATTTTAAATGATAAGTGTATAACAAACCAAATTATATATAAATTAGCACGGAGCATGTGTGCTATCATTTTCTATAGGTAAGGGACATAGTAATCGAACAGCGCGTCTTTTGAAACCCGAATTTGTATATACCGTGGCTACTCTCACGACACCGTCAGGTCCCGGATGAACATCTGTAACTCTGCCCAATAACCACTTTAGCGGCGGCAAATTATTTTCTTTTATTAATACCAGTGTGCCCAGTTGAATGGATGGCCCTCTAGATTTGGACCATTTGTTTCATCCTTGCAGTTGTCCCAAATACTCCTTGCTCCATCGCGACCACACGTGTTGCACAAGCTGCTGAACTCTTTGCCACCGAGATAATCTATTTATTGGCATACCTCCTACATCCTGTTCAGGCAGTGCGCGCAGTTTAAGCAACATTCTATTTGGGTTAATACAGTATATAGTTCATCGTACGTTAATCGTGAATTTGCAATGGTACGATTTAAGTGTTTTTTCACGGCCTTGACGGCTGCCTCCCATAAACCACCAAAATGTGGGGAACGTGGTGGTATAAACTTCCAATTAATTTCTTGTAACGCTAATGTGTCTTGGACGCGGTTTTTGTGTTGTTCTGAGAAAAGAAGTGCAGACAAATCGCTTAATTTCTTATTAGCACCTACAAAATTTGTACCATTATCTGAAAAAATGGTACCGCACTTTCCTCGTCTTGAGATAAATCGGTGCAAGGCGGCTATAAAAGCATCAGTGGTGAGATCACATACTAGTTCTATATGCACAGCTTTACTTGCCATACATATAAAAATGCATATATATGCTTTCTCCAACGGTGCATTTCTACGCGCATGTGATTTCATCAGTATTGGCCCAGCATAATCAACCCCCGTATTTTCAAAACTACGTAGTGGCCGGTTTACTCTTGGTGTGGGTAAAATACCCATAATTGGCTCTACGATATTAGGTTTATTTTTAAAACAAATTACACATTGGTGGGCGACTTTTCGAGCTGTCCGACGCCCATTTATCGGCCAATATTTTAAGCGCACGTTCGCTAACATTGCTTGGGGCCCGGCATGTAAGGACATTTTATGTTCGTTTCTAAAAATTAGGGTATCAAAATGGCACGCGTATGGAATCAGAATAGGATACCGCTGGTCATGAGCTAGGTCCGTCGCATTACCAAGGCGACCACCAACACGTAATATATTTTCTTTATCGAAGAATGGGCTTAATGGCTGCAATTTTTTATTACTTAATGGCTCACCAAAAAACTGATTTTGTAAGAGTTTAATAAATATTTTTACTGATTTTTGAATTTCGTCATTACCGAGTGGACCTAAGCATTTTTCTTTTGATTTTAATTTACTTGAAATATTATGCACAAACCTTAATGTGTATGCAAACACACGCTGAAAACGACTTAATTTTGAATATTTTTCAGACAGTTGAACAAAATAATTATTTTTTGTTACTTCAGTAACCATTACCACTGAGTTCGACTGCTTACGCGCTTCGCATATTGTATCCTCGTCTTCGTGTATTTGATTAAGTGTTTCCCAACTCGCCTGCTCGCCCATCAACCACGCTGGTCCGTTCCACCACAACGTACAATTTTGTAGATCTTGTACATCACACCCCCTGGATAACATGTCGGCCGGGTTCTCCTTTGTATTAACATACGACCATGACCACTGTGACGAGAACCTTTGAACCTTACACGGTTGGCTACGAACGGTTTCCAACGCATTGCATCCGCCGCGATCCATGCTAATACTACATTGGAATCACTCCAACAATACGTATTTGTAACGTTAATTCGTAACGCTGGAACAATTTTTTTTATTAATTTTGATAATAGTACTGCGGCACAAAGTTCTAACCGCGGTATTGTTAATATATTTATTGGTGCAATTCTTGATTTGGCGCATACTAACTGAGAATGGCGACTACCGTCTGAGCTAGTGCACACTACATATATACAAGCCCCATACGCTTTAAGCGATGCATCGGAAAATCCGTGTACGTATATTTTTTCTGCGTCATCACATTGCAACCATCGTGGGATACTAAGATTATTACACTGATCTAAATTATTTAAATATTTTTTCCATTGCATTTGCATTTCTATTGATAATTCATTATCCCAATTTATTTTTAGTTTCCATAAATGCTGCATGAGGATTTTAGCGATTACGATAACAGGCCCGAGGAATCCGAGCGGGTCGAACAAACGCGCAATATTCGATAAAATACCTCGCTTAGTTATTTTATGTTCAGTCACTGGTAATGATACTTTATAAATGAAACAATCAGAGTTTGCTTCCCAATACAAACCTAATGTCTTTATTGCTTCAGTTTCCATATTTAATGAATATAGTGAATTTTCATTTGGAACTGGTATATATTTTAATAAATCTACATGATTTGCTGTCCACTTGCTTAATTCAAATCCATTTTTACTTAGGCATTTAATCAATTCATTACGTAAATTTAACGCCTCCGATAACGTTGACGCTCCTGTCAAACAGTCGTCGACACAAAAATCATTTTTTATTACCTGTGCTACCTTGGGACACATTGTATTTATGTCCGTTGATTTATGAAGACATGCCACTGATAAGAAACTTGCAGGTACTGTTCCGTACGTTACTGTACATAATCTATATTTGTTAATTGGCTCATTAGGGTCACCACGCCACAATATACGCTGATAGTCTCGATCCGCGTTATCGACCCATACCTGCCTATACATTTTTTTTATGTCAGCTGAAAATGCATATTTATGGGTACGAAATCTAGCTACGATTAACGTGAGGTCGTTTTGTAACATAGGGCCCTTTAACAATACATCGTTTAACGATAGCCCCGAATCTGACTTGCACGAACCGTCAAACACTACTCGCAACTTTGTTGTTCGGCTATGTTCATTAAGAACATAAGAGTGTGGCATATAATATGTTTTCACTGATAAATCCTTATCCTCATCAACTTTTTCCATATGTCCCAAGTGTTCATATTCTTCCATAAATAATTTATATTGACTATATCGCTCGGGATTTTTGCCGAGACGTCGCTCTAGTAATAAGAATCGTTTTAGCGCGATATTATATGACTCGCCTAATTGATCTACGTTATCGCGAAACGGCAATTTTACGACAAATTTTCCCGTTGAATCAACTGATACGTTATCTTGAAAATGTTTGCGACACATTGCGTCTTCGGACGTTTCGTCTGTATTTTCCGTGGAACATTCTTCAATTTTCCAAAATTCCTCAATATCCTTTTCCAAATTTGAATAATTACCTTCACCTACCACAAAGCAAGCTGTTGTATTGTTTTTTGATGAACGTTCATTCACTGGTCCAACAATAATCCAGCCGAACATTGTCTGCTGTAAGTACGGACCCATTGTATGAAGCTTGAAATTTTCTGTGCACATTATTTCCCAATACGAGTCAGCACCAATCAGTAAATCTATTTTTTCAGGTTTAAAATATCTGGAATCAGCCAACTTTATATCTTTGGGTATCGACCATTTTGTGGTATCAATATTGCTGGTAGGGAGGTTTCCAGTAATTTTTGGTAGTACCAACATATTTATGGTAGTGGAATAATTATTTATACGTGACTTAATAGACGCTGTCACCTCATACGTGGCACGGCTCACCACCTCATTAATACCTGATATCGATTTGTTTATTTTTGTTCGCGCCAGTCCTAATCGCTGTGACATTGCTTCGGTCAAAATATTGATTTGTGAACCATTATCTAATAATGCCCTGCATACAACCAGCTCGCCACACGCATTTACTATGTGTACTTCTGCTGTCGCTAATAGCACTTGTGCGCGCGTTTGAACACGGGCGGCGTGACTAACCACCACCTCTTCATTGGACACATTCGACATAAACGCATTTTGTACGTCTTGTTTTACATCCGCATGCAACAACGTATTATGCATTTTTTTACATTTGGAATATACTTTTTTCGACCAACACAATTTTACATCCGTATGCCCCGTACCAAGGCAATTACGACACAGATTTAGTTCATCGACCTTTAGTGTTCTCTCACTTGCACTGAGTGCAATAAACTTTTGACACTTATAAATGGGATGCGGTTCCTTACAAAAATAACAAGCTAAGCGATTAGTAGTCACAAATGCGTTAAATCTTTTATTATTATTGAATTGCGTGATTGTGTCATTTTTATTGCGATTATTTTGCTTAAGCTGCATATTATTTGATTTATACGCTAAATTTTTTGAGCTATCAATTGCCTCTAATATTTGACACCGTTCATTTAAAAATGTAATCAACTCCTTTACAGCTGGCAATGTATTTTTTGCCGCTATAGATTCCCAATTGCGTATTGTGTTGTAATCTAACTTGACTAAAATTACATGTAATAATAGCGCACCCCAGGCATCAGGATCATGACCTAACGCTTTTAAAGCTTGCATATTCATATTTAAGTCTGCCGTAAACTTTCTTAAACGAACACTTGACTCCTTTTGCATTGGTTCTAGTTCATAGATATTTTTTGTATACGATTGTATGAGTATACGCTTATTATCGTAACGCTCTACGACAGTGTTCCATGCATCAGAGTAATTATCAGCTGTAGTTACCACATTTTGTATTAGAGATAATGCGTCCCGAGACAAATGCATACGTAAATAAACAAATTTTTGTACACTATTTATTTCTGAATAATGCACCATGGTTAGAAATAAATCCTTAAATGTAGACCACTCTTCAAATTTTCCCGAGAATATAGGTATTTCTAACGGTTTCATTTTTATCGCAGGACCACCTACTTGCATATCGTTATAACTGCCTGGGACACTCACCTTGTTCATACTACACACAGAGTTTGAACCTTGCACCATAGTTTCCGCCTTTGCGACCACATCGAAGTATAAATCTACAAACGTATCTCTGTAGACTAATTGATCATTACCGGTATCTTTTATTTCGATATTATTTTGAATCAAATCAAACTCGGTCCAAAGTTCTTTTATTTTCTCTAGACGCAACCTTAACTTTATGATATTGTTGCCACAATCCACGTCTAACTCCTCTATATATGTTTGGAACTTGGTTAACTGTGCCTTCAGTTGACCTCGTCTTATTATATACACTGCCAATTCATCTGACTGATCCCCAGGCATTATTATACTTTTTTTTTTAAGAATGTGCTTACAAGGGAAAAATGAGAGGAAATAATGCCCTTATTTTCTAATAATTAATTTTAGCTCACTCACCTTAGGCTGTATATTGAATGCACTGCAACCACTGCACACCACAGCGCTCGACACTCGTACGATTGTGTTACACTAATATTCCTTAATATTAGATAGTTGAAAACACGCTTGATTTGACGATTTTCCTTCCTTGATTGATCAATTTGGTTGTATTGCTACTGCACGGATACTGTTCCTGCGGAGCGTTATATTTACTTTTAACCAATAAAACACATACACTTTGAACTAGACAATAAATTATAATTTTACCGGCTATTCGTCCACTGTACGATACTGAATTCGCGGGACGTAATATCACAATGTATATCGCTAGTCAATCCGGTTCGAAGGACCAAAATGTTGCCTTATAAATGAATGTACAACAATTTTTTATTATAATTAAATGGACTGTATATTTTCTGTTATTTTTGCGAGTACGTAGCCGACAACTCGACAACAACGACTGACCCACACACATAGTAGGTATAATCAAAATACAATCTCCAATGATATTTGGCCCATCGTTATCGACAATCATATCAGATTACGCATGGCGTTTCCGCCGTAACATGCAGTCTTGAACGTATTTGTTCTTTAAAATCAAATTCTTTTAAAAAAAACTAAAAGAATTATAGTATATTATTATACTTGCTGACATATAAATGAATTGCTATTTCTATAAGTATTTGTGATTATGTGAAACGTGAGTAGTATATTATCAGATAGGCAATTTACCAGTGGTAGATTACCGACCCTTCGTAGTGCGTACTTAAGTATATTATTTAATTCTAAAGTGAATGAAACACCTCCACAAGGTTACAGATAGTGGGCAAAACAATAGATAACCAATCTAGACGTTAGAATCTAAGACTATACGAATAGTATTCCGACTCACCATCCAATTATTCATATATATTTTATATTATTTTTTTTATATATTTGACCAATTACCACTTTTTGATGTTTCTACATCTCATAAAAATTGTATATC